GCCCTTCTAGACACTCACGGTGCCCGGGGGGGGGGGGCTTCACTGTGGCATGAACTCCTAGCCAATTTGTGTCTCCGCGGTGGGGGAATTTTTGCTAACGTTCTCACCTGCATCTCTTGGGCGTTGCTTCCCTCGGCAGTTGCATCAAAGCCAGATGGAGCTTCAGGAGGTGAGGCTGTCGTACCGGCAGCTGCAGGTCAAGGTGGAGGAACTCAGCGAAGAGCGGAGCCTCCAGCATTTCAACTCCACCAGCACGTCCTTGCTGTCCGAGATCGAGCAGAGCATGGAAGCCGAGGAGCTGGAGCAAGAGAGAGAGCAGGTACCTCAAAACTCTTGGCTCCAGCAGCACCGGGTGCAGCATGGATGGTGTTGGCATGAGGTTGAGGGTTATGGGTCAGCAGCAGTCCTGGAGGTGGGCAAGTTTGGTGGTTGCCAAAGGGGCTAAGCTGAGCTTGATGGCTGCAGTTTCTGAATGGGCTGTCTGCACTGAGCTAGGAGGTACTACCTTCTTTTTTTTTTAAGGGAGAAAATAGAACTACAGGTTGTTTAAGAACCAGCATGACATAGTGGGTACAGTGTTGGACTTGGGTGTAGCATTGGACCTGGGTTTGGCTTGACTGTGGAGACTCACTTGTATGGGGGTGAACAATGGTAAACCACTCCTGGAACATCTCCCGTACACTTCTGTCTTGAATTGCACAGGACTGAACAGCACAGTTTTAGGAATACAGTGGTGCCTCGCTTAACGACGTTAATTTGTTCCAGCGAAATCGCTGTAAAGCGAAAATGTCATAAAGCAAAATAAAAAGCCCATTGAAATGCATTAAAAACCATTCAATGCGTTCCAATGGACTGAAAAACTCATAATCCAGCAAAAATCCTTCATAGGGGTGGCCATTTTTGGTGCCTGTAGAGCAAGGAATCCGTCCAAAAACACAGCGGGGAGCCATTTTGAGCACCCAGCGGCCATTTTGAAAACCCGACAATCAGCTGTTTTGATTGTCGTAATGCGAAGAATTGATTCCCGAAGCAGGGAACCGATCTTCGCAAAGCGGGGAAAAAAAACACCATTTAAAACATTGTTGTGGAGCGGATTCGTCATTATATGGGGTAATCATTAAGCGGTTCATGACTGTACCTGTATTTTTTTTCAGTCAGTCAATAAATATACCACTAAATATACTAATAAGACAGATATTCAATGAATCCTGTGCCCCTGGCCACCCAGAACCCCATGATATTCTTTAAATTAGCTTTGAAGCACCCTTTTTTGGCTTCTAAAACAGCCTTTCAATATACGTAGCCATTAAAACTTGGAACCAATGACAGCCTCCCACCAAATGGTCTAAACTTTCCTTTTTCATGAGAGCACTTGTGTGCTGTCAAGTTGATTGTGACTTGCAAAATCCTGTGCCCCTGGTCACCCAGAACCCCATGATATTCTTTAAATTAGCTTTGAAGCACCCTTTTTTGGCTTCTAAAACAGCCTTTCAATATACGTAGCCATTAAAACTTGGAACCAATGACAGCCTCCCACCAAATGGTCTAAACTTTCCTTTTTCATGAGAGCACTTGTGTGCTGTCAAGTTGATTGTGACTTGCAGCAACTGGTTCCAGAGCTTCCAATAAAAGGTTTGCCATTCGCATTTTCTGGGGGTGTTTTAGAACTGTGCAGCTTGCCCAAGGCCACACACAGCCTGACCCTTCTCGTACAGAGCACCGTGCTGAATTGAATCCTCCTGACCTCTGGCTCCACGGCCGGGTATCCAACACACTGAGATATCCAAGCTGCTTAACCTCCCTTAATGTCCTTTAAATTTTTGCAACCTGTTTCAAGTATGTATATTTATTTCTTTTTGTATAAATCTGCATTTTAATTATTTCTGCTTAGCCGCCTAGAGTGGTCGTGACCTGATCAGATAGGCAGGATATAAATAAAATATTTATTTCTTATAAATCTGCATTTTAATTATTTCTGCTTTCCCCATTTCTTCTGTTGCCAGTTAGAGGGCTAGGATCCATGCAGGACCTACTCCCATGCAGGAAAAATCCCATGCAGCTGAGCTGGGGTCACAGACAGAGCTGGGATAGCCCAATCTAAATGTGAGAGACATGTTCCCCTGCTCCAGTCAGAAGCCGCCTCTGTAGGCAGTCACCCCTTTGACTTCTCCAGGCATCGCCAAAGCACTTCCGAATAAATCTTTGGAACTCATAACAACTAGAGTCTTGCTTTTTTAAAAGAGAGACCGAGAGGTGCAAGAAGCTAAATTATATAAAAATCATAAGGCTCCTATTTAGGTGACCGGTAATACATTTGCTGCTAAGAAAACAAACTGCACATGATCAAACTGTGCAAAAAGGATCAGGTCAACACAGGTTCAGTGTGAAGATTAAGTCATTGATCTTCATAGAGGAAGGACACAACACAAACAGTAATGATCCTAATAATTGGAATGTTACCGATCTTGGATTCCAATCCTGGTATTTGTAAGAGGCTCTTGCTTGAGCACCTTTCTCCCGTGTCATCTGCCCGACCCACCAGATCCTCCCAGGGCATGCTCCTCTGGGTTGCCACTCTAAAGGAGGCCCTTTCTACTGGGAGTTGAGCCTTCTTCATGGGGGCACCGACTCCCGGTGGAACTATGCCTGACCCTCTGCCTGCTAACCTTTAGGAGGCAGCTCAAAACCCTGCTGTTTAGGGAGACCTTCCACAATGACGGTGCTCGATGTCACTCCTCTTACCCTGCTCTCGTAGAGCTGGAAGGCGGGTGGTGCTGCAGGTTGAGCTGCGGGGTCCATCGGGCTGTTGATCAAAATGTGGTTCATTCAAGACCACACAAGGGGTGAGCTCCCGTTGCTTGTCCCAGCTCTCGCCAACCTAGCCATTCCAAAGCCTGCAAATGGGAATACTGTAGATTTTAATGCATTCCAATGGGGAACTGGGTTTCACAAGACGATGTTTTCACAAGACAGCGATTTCCATGGAACAAATTTAAATCGTCTTGCGAGGCAGCACTGTAGATGAAGAGGTGCCACCACGGTGGGAAGGGAACAGCATCCTTGCACTAACAGGGTGGTCTATAAATCAACTTCACATCAATCAGTCGATCAATCAGGGTTTCGCGTGGATCTCCGTGGGCTTCTGTGCTTGAAAGCAATGACGGTCCTTTGCCGAACAGCCAGCGTCCTCTCTCTCTCTCGTCGCAGCTACGGCTCCAGCTTTGGGAAGCCTATTGCCAGGTCCGATATTTGTGCACCCACCTCAGAGGGAACGACAGCGCCGACTCGGCGGTCTCCACCGACTCCTCCATGGACGAGTCTTCGGAAACCTCCTCGGCCAAAGACGTGCCCGCTGGGAGCCTGCGGGCCGCGCTCAGCGAGCTTAAGAGGCTGATACAGAGCGTTATAGATGGCACAGACTCCCCGGTAAGAGGAAGGGGATGTGCTGCCGGCTGGATCCCCCACGCCAGGAACATTATAAAAAACATGTTCTCAACATAAAACCCCCTTTCAGTTCTCTGACCAAAATCAGACAGTACTTCTACCATTCACAGATTTTATTTTTCTTTCTGCTCGTGAATTACAAGAATATCCTTAGTAAGCAATATCATAGCCAACTAACAGTGCATTCTTATGCATGCCACTCATATATAAGACTGCTGATGCAGGATTCCTCCGGGCACAGACTCCTCACCTTCCTGTCTCTGCCTTTTTGGGTGCTTTTTGTTGCTCTGCAAAATGTCCTATTATGTAAAAAATAATACACTGAAAAGCATTCTTTATTAGAAAAAAGGGATAAAAAAATAAAATACCAAAGACTCTCCACCTGCATTGCATCTCAAGAGAAAGCAGGACAAAACGTCTCGTTTCTTTACTGCTTCCCAGAGCTTACGGAGAAGTGACGATGATGCCTTAGAAGAACAGATCAAGCAGACCAGCGAAGATTCAAGGGCCCTGAGGGAGCTGATGGAGGGGGAAAGGGGGAAACTGAGGCAGAGCCTGGAGGAGCTGCAGCAACTCCACAGCCAGGTAAGTGGGTGGTCCCTTGGCCAATTCCCAACCTTTTCAGGTGAGGGAGGTGACTTAAAGCAAGATAAACGCTGTGACCTTTTGAGCAGTTCATCGGATGCCGCCTTCTTGCTATTGTTGACTTTGCTGATTGAATTCTGTAGTGATTAAGAACCTGGTCCCTTGGCCAATTCCCAACCTTTTCAGGTGAGGGAGGTGACTTAAAGCAAGATAAACGCTGTGACCTTTTGAGCAGTTCATCGGATGCCGCCTTCTTGCTATTGTTGACTTTGCTGATTGAATTCTGTAGTGATTAAGAACCACTCTAGAAACAAAAAGGAGAGAGAGAGAGAGAAACTGACTTCCACTTTATTCACCCAGGAAATCCTCTTAAAGATTCCTGTAGCAGGAACTGGCTGTAACTGGCCTCCAGGATTGCAGGCTCTTGATTAACGTGGAGCAAGGAGAGGAAACAGGAAATAATTTTAGAGAAAGAAGGAAGAGCACCTGGGAGTACCAATCTGCATTTTCATCTAGAAAAGACAAAAGAGTGAAAAGATGCTTGGGCTTGGCTATCTGCCTATTGCCTCTGCACGGGTTTAAATCATGTTCTACATGCTTTACTGCCCTTATTTTCCAACCGTAGTGGAAAAGAAGAAGATGAGCAGGAGGAGGTTGCTCCTCCTTTTCACTTTTTCTTTGATTGGTCTCGTCAGAGTGGGCAGGGGAGATGGGAAGTAACCTCAGACCCTTGGTCCATGTCATCCCGTATGTTGACACAGACTGGCAGCCAGGACACACATGAACTCGGGCAGGATTCATTTGCTAGGCTGATGCAAAGAAGCCAGGAATCAAACCTTCTGCAGGTAGAGCAGGTCCTCTCCCACTGAGCTACCTTGGAAATAACTACCCATAGGTAACAACCTGCTTCTGATTAATTCCTTTTTGCAACACCAAGAGCATAGTTCAGTTACATCATAATTCTAGCTTCATGAGGCATTAATTCCTTTTCCTCTGTAACTAACTTTTAGTTAGTTTTGCTGTTACCAATACAGTGGTGCCTCGTTTGACGACAATAATCCGTTCCGTTCAAATCACTGTTAAGCGAAATCGTTGTCAAGCGAAAGTAAAAAACCCATTGAAATGCATTGAAAACCAGTCAATGCGTTCCAGTGGGTGAAATACCTCATAGTGCAGCGAAGATCCTCCATAGGGCAGCCATTTTCCAATGCCTGTAAAGTGAAGAATCCGTCCTGAACACAGTGGGGAGCCATTTTGAAAACCCGATGATCAGCTGTTTTTGATCGTTGTTAAGTGAAAAATCGATTCCTGAAGCAGGTAACCTATTGTCGTCAAGCGGATTTTCCCCATTTAAATATTGTTTTGCGATTGCAATAGCGATTGCAAAAAACTCATCGTAAAGTGGATTCATCATGGAGCGGGCTAATCATCAAGCAGGGCACCACTGTATATGGTTTCCGAAACGGTAGGGCACTCAAGTGGATGGTTTGAGTGGTGGCTTCTGTTGTGTTGCTGCCTTGAAGTCTGTTGTGAAACAACACTCACAGGGGTTTGGATAGGAGGTGAGACTGTTTTATATCACAGGCTAGCCCTTTAATATTCAGACGGTGGGGTTTTCTTTAAACAAATTAGCTAGCAATGATTTTAATTACTCCTGAGATATGCAGGAGTTATTTTAAAAACTTTATCATGGCAGCTAGTTACTTTTCCTGCACTGTGGGATGATAACTTTAACTAATTACTTTTAAAAGTCATTTCCCAAGCCCTGGTTGCAGCCTTCTGGAAGTGAACAGGTAGCAAAAGGAAGATGGAGAAGAAGGAAAATCAGAAATGGGTGGGGTTGAGGGTCGAGGGGGATGATCTGGATTCATGACACAAGCCTTACCAGCTCAGTCTTGGTGGAGTAGAAGACGAAAGAGGGAAACTTCAGAGAGCACGCCAACCCAAAGATCAGGATAATATTGGTCCCCCCCCCAATTTTATTGCTTTTATTCTGGGTACCTGCAGTTACCATATGCTTCTGTTGTTGACTTGAAATATTAGTCATGGCCTGTGATCTTCTACCAATTGGCTTAAAATCATAAAACATTTGAACAAAAAAATGGGTTTATTTTCCATTTCCCCCCCTGTGCCTGGAGTTTTGGGGAAGATTTTTCCCCCCCTTGATTCATTTCTGCAGTCACGACAATTGTCAGTTTGCGTTCAGAACGCTGTCCTCTCGAGGTTCTTCCGACTATCCTCCTGCACGAAGTCTCCTGCTACAGTGTGGATGCCGAAGGTCCCTCCCTAGCTGTGTCAACCCTTTTCCTTATCTTCTGAGAGGTGAGCCCGGTTGCTCTGAGATCTGTGCCCTCGGAGTTTTGATTATTTCTTTGCCCCGGTTCTTCTGACCAGGTGACGCTGCTGAGCGTGGAAATGACTTCCCTGAAAGAAGAGAGAGATAAACTCCGAGGGTCGGTGGATGATAAAGATGTGAATGAGCAACTCTTGAAGGCTATCAGGGACCGGGACGATGCAATCGCCAAGTAAGCTTCACCTCGTTGAAAGACTCCGAGTCGTTTTGGACGTATGGAAAGATGAGCGGAGGTGTAACACTTTTGCCTGTAGGGAGAAGTTCAGTAAAGTCCGGGGGCCTAAATTGAATTGCTATTCCTAAACCAGAAGAGATCCACTTAATTAAATCAACGCTATACAAAGTCCACTGATTACATGGTTCTCCTCTGAATGAGATTAGCACCCGGATTTGGCCAAAAGTCTGGAGCCAAAATTTGCACAATACACTGCACTATAGAGTTTGCAGTGGGGAGCAGTGTATCTTTGTGTGTGTAGTATATTGTAAATCAATACAAAATGGCCAACAAAAAGCCCCAGACCAATGCACTGATTGAAATATGCTCCTTGAAATAACTGGCCAGAATCCTATCAGTTAGTTAGGCTAGTGTAGGTGCAGTTGCATAAGTTGGTGCAGCAAATTGCCAATAATTGACGAGTCACCTCCTCCCATGACTGGAATGCAGCAATGGATACAAGTGGGGGCTTTTAAACAAACATCATTGGCTCTTGCACTCTACGCCGTGGCCTTTACGTTGGCATAACTAACAAGATGTGGGTCACCATGTTTTAATTAAATGAAACTTGTGTCTGAAACTGTTTAGAAAATTAAGGGGCAAGTCTGGCTGTTAAGTCTCGGCTAAACACGACCCATTAAATCAAAGAGCTTCACAAGCACTGAGTAAACAGTGTTCCATTGATTCAACAGGTCTAGCGTAGCAACTGAATTCATGCCTACATCCCAGGAGCTGAGGAGGTTAGGCTGACCCACCTCTCTGTCATCCCTTAGTAAGCAAAACCCCAAAAAGCCACTTCGAATGGGCAGGGGATTTCTTACAAAATTGATGCATTTAAAAAAACTTTTTTTTAGCTCTGCTATGTTCTCATATTATAATTTGGATCACTGATCCATCCATCCATCCATCCATCCATCCATCTATCCATCCATCCATCCGACTTGTATACCGCCTGCACTCTGCAAGAGTCTCCGGGCGGCTTCCAACATTAATTAAAACAGTTTAGTTAAAAACAGACACTAAAAACCAATACAGCCACATCCACTCTACAAAAGCAAAAATAAAAACAAAAACAATCTACAAAAACAATCTAGATCCATGACATTAACTAAAATTAAAAACTTAAATTTAAAAAACTTCCGGAACAGGAAGGTTTTAACCTGGCGCCGAAATGTCAGAGATCTAGCTGTATCTGAAGCGGAGCAGCCGTTGACACGCGACTCGAATCAAGGCGTACGCTCCCCAAAACCAGCCAGGTGGTTTTGGCACACGAGGAAGGAGATCCTGCCCCCCCCATCCTCGTGCCCAGACCTGGCAACGAAAACTCAGCTGCAATCCAGCTGAATCACTAAAATATTTCTCCTCCATCATGATGCCCAAAGTGTGAAGCCTAAGGTGGTGGAACAGAATGGCCAGCCCGATCCAACCATTGCCTCCTCTACCCAGAAGGACCGAGCGCATCCCAGTTTCTAGAAAGAGCCATTCTAACACTGCCATCTGCTGGCAGAAGGAGGGAAGGCCCGCTCGGCTGCCAAGTCTTCCCAAGTCGAAAAGCCGAGCTGATATTTTAGTATGTGTGTGGGTTACTAGCTCTCTCCTGTATCCATGGAAACCAGCTACCTTTCTTGGGATGCACAAGTCATTAATGTTCAGTAGTCATTCATTGTTGGGGGATTTATTTATTTATTTGTTTGTTTCATCCTTTTACTTCTTCTTCTTTTTTTTAGCAATGCAAGTATATTTGAAGGACTTTGTTCTAACAGGCTTTCTCTGGAAATACAGAGGTACGCCAAAATCCTGTTGCATACTTTAGTCAACTGCACTAAAGTAGGCCCCTTGGCCCCTTCACGGATTGCTGCGTTGTCGTGGAGAAGGGGCTTGAGTAGTTCAGAGAAGCTATGGGCTATGCCGTGCAGGGACACCCAAGACAGACAGGTCATAGTGGAGAGTTCTGACTAAACGCGATCCACCTGGAGCAGGAACTAGCAAGCCACTTGAGGATCTTTGCCAAGAAAACCCCATAGACAGAAACAAAAGGCTAAAAGATATGATGCTGGAAGATGGGACTCTCAGGTTGGAAGGCGTCCAACATGCTACTGAGGAAGAGCAGAGGATAAGTACAAGTAGCTCCAGAGCTAATGAAGGGGTTGGGCCAAAGCCGAAAGGACGCTCAGCTGCAGATGCGCCTGGAAGTGAAAGGAAAGTCCGATGCTGCTAAGAAGAATACTGCATAGGAACCTGGAATGTAAGATCTATGAACCTTGGTAAGCTGGAGGTGGTCAAACAGGAGATGGCAAGAATAAACATTGACATCCTGGGCGTCAGTGAACTAAAATGGATGGGAATGGGCGAATTCAATACAGATGATTACCATATCTACTACTGTGGGCAAGTATTGTCTCCCTGCTTATTTAATTTATATGCAGAATACATCATGCAAAAGGCAGGACTGAAGGAATCCCAAACCAGAATTAAGATTGCCAGGAGAAATATCAACAACCTCAGATATGCGGATGATACCACTCTGATGGCAGAAAGTGAGGAGGAATTAAAGAACCTCTTAATGCAGGTGAAAGAGGAGAGTGCAAAAAATGGTCTGAAGCTCAACATCAAAAAAACTAAGATCATGGCCACTGCTCCCATCACCTCCTGGCAAATAGAAGGGGAAGAAATGAAGGCAGTGACAGATTTTGCTTTTTTGGGCTCCATGATCATTACAGATGGTGACAGCAGCCACGAAATTAAAAGATGCCTGCTTCTTGGGAGGAAAGCGATGACAAACCTAGACAGCATCTTAAAAAGCAGACATCACCTTGCCAACAAAAGTCCAAATAGTCAAAGTTATGGTTTTCCCAGTAGCGATGTATGGAAGTTAGAGCTGGACCATAAAGAAGGCTGACGGTCGAAGAATTGATGCTTTTGAATTTTGGTGCTGGAGGAGACTCTTGAGAGTCCCCTGGACTGCAAGGAGAACAAACCTATCCATTCTGAAGGAAATCAACCCTGAGTGCTCAATGGAGGGACAGATCCTGAAACTGAGGCTTCAGTACTTTGGCCATCTCATGAGAAAAGAGGACTCCCTGGAAAAGATGCTGATGTTAGGAAAGTGTGAAGGCAAGAGATGAAGAGGGACGACAGAGGATGAGATGGTTGGACAGTGTCATTTGAGTGACCAATGTGAATTTTACCGAATTCCAGGAGGTTGTGGAAGACAGGAGGGCCTGGCATGCTCTGGTCCATGGGGTCATGAAGAGTCGGACACAACTTAACGACTGAACAACAACAGGCCTCTTGAATCAGTGGAATTTTAGTGAGTCACCACCTCTATAGAACCCATTGATTCATATGAGCCCACTCTAATTGCAACATACTATGCTCAAGTAAGTCTCATTTGAATCAATGGGCCTAAGAGTTTGAATCAATAAGACTAATGGAGGAATTGACTAATCAATTTATTTATTTATTGCATTTGTGTATCACCCATCTAGTGGCCAGCCAACCACTCTGGAAGGCTTACAAAAACACCACCCAATCCCAAACCCCAGCAAACAAAACAATCACAAAAGCACCTCCCCCAGAAAAAAAAACCCCGGTGATGACAGCAGCCAAAATTAACAATTAAGCACATGGCATAAACGAATATGTATCACCATCAAGAAGACCCGGTTCCTAGTCCTAGATTTCTGGACCTCCCTCCGGATGGCCACTCACAACGTGATAGCCCACAGGTGGCATGGATCTCAGGGAAAGGCACTCTGACAAGTAACGAGGTCCCAAACGGTTATGGGCCTTATATGTCAATATTAAAACCTCGAATCTGGCACGGAAGCATACAGGCAGCCAGTGCAAGCGAGTCAGAACTGGGGAAATGTGATCGTATCTCAAGGTGCCCGAAACTAGCCCCAGCATTTTGCACCTGTTGCCGCTCACCAAATCCCCATCAGTTCAATGAGCCTGCTCTAGTGCACTTAACTAATCTGAGCAACAGGATTTGGGCCATAGAATTGTAGACTCGTAGAACTGTAACGCTGGAAGGGACCTGAAGGGAAGCGGGAAGTCCATAGTTGAAGCATCCTTGTCTGGTGGCCCACTATGGTCTATTTGAAAAACCTTCAACGGTGACGAAGGAATCCATCCAACCCTGGAGTCTTTCTCATTTCCTAGCATGGAGCCCTTCCAAGTTGTCTTTCGAGACACTCCCCACGACCCCTATGTAGCACTGCAGCGGTCCCTTTCTGGAAGATGTCATGTTGTGGAAGGCTAGAGTAATGTTATTGCTTTACTAGCCAGTGTGGCGGAGGGACTGTCGTTTAGTTTAGATTACTGTATTTTTCCATGTATAAGACTATACTTTTGTCTAAAATCTTTAAACTAAAAATTGAGGGTCGTCTTATACACGGAAGCAAGCTGAGGAGAGAACAAAAACAAGTGGAGGGTAAAGCAGGGATCAAAGCAATCCTGCAGCACTTTGATCCCTTTCCCCCTACACTTGCTAAGCCCCACTTAGATTTCTTAATTTTGGATTAGAAAAGTGGGGGGCGTCTTATACAAGGAGGCGTCTTATACACAGAAAAATAGGGTAATCCCTGGGAGACCTGTGTTCAAATCCCTGTTCTGCTGTGAAACTAGGCAGTTTTATGACACTCTCGCTCTTGTGGTATGATCTGCTTCACAGGGTTGTTGTGAATTCAAAACGAGGAAGAGGAGAGCCTCGGTGTAAATAAATAAAGCTCTTCCTCACATTGCAGCCAACGCATTTTGCTAGTTGCCAATAAGAATGACGTATTTTGAGTATCATTGGACAGAGTGAAATGGAAGGATGGCAAAGTGTGGCTTATTTGAATTTGTATTATTGGGTTCTAGTACTAAAAACACAAAAACAACACCTGCAAGCTTCAGCTCTGTCCAGCCCATTTGAATGTGATGGTTAAAATCAACCAGTGGCCCCTTACCTTTTAGCAGGCTTTGTTGGGCAGAAGCTTCTTTGTAAGCCAGTTTGTCATTAACCTTACCTACTTATACCTTGCAGGCTTTATCTTGTATGCATTATCAAAATTTATTTTACCTGCCATGTTTTGGAAGGTTCATGTGGGCGTAATATTTTATAAAACTTGTTACCCTCTTGGATAATCCCATCGGTGGCCCAGGGTGGTTAGGAAGCCGCAGGGCAAGCAATGCGGAGAGAAAGTGGCTGTTCTAATGAGGCCTGCTTGGCTTGACTTTTTCAGGAAGAACGCTGTTGAAATGGAACTAGCCAAATGCAAGATCGATATGATGTCGTTGAATAGCCAGCTGTTGGACGCGATCCAGCAGAAGCTGAATCTTTCTCAGCAGCTAGAGGCGTGGCAGGTAAGAGGGTGGGAAGGCGTGTGGAAACCATGAGAAAAACCACTTGTGTCTGTTCCAGCAATAGGAGAAACACTCTTGCCACGGTGGGGTCGGTGCTACAAGTCCCAGAATCCCCAGCCACCAGGCGAGTGAGTGGCCATGCGGGGGGGGGTCCTGTTTCTGGGAGTTTTAGTCCGAAAAGCAGATTTTTCAAAGCCCTGCTCTGTACTGACAAAAGCATGCCCTGCTGTAGCAAAACTGCTTGGGAAGGATTTGGGGTGTTCTTTTAAATATTGGGGGACGTGGGTGGCGCTGCGGGTTAAACCACAGAAGCTGCAAGGTCAGAAGACCAGCCGTCGTAAGATCGAATCCAGGCGATGGAGGGAGCTCCCGTCGCTTATCCCAGCTCCTGCCAACCTAGCCGTTCGAAGCATGTAAAAATGCGAGTAGATAAATAGGGACCACCTCGGTGGGAAAGTAATGGCGTTCCGTGTCTAGTTGCGCTGGCCACGTGACCACGGAAACTGTCTACGGACAAATGCTGGCTCTGTGGCTTGGAGACTGGGATGAGCACTGCCCCCCAGAGTATTTATTTGTTAATACCACCCATAGGGGGGAAAAAAAACACTAAGCATTTAACCGTTGCAGTGTAGGAGCAGTTGTGTTTTTTTTCTAAACTAAAACCTCAGCATTCAGGTTTTAATTGCAGTATTGGCACTTTGAAATAAATAAGTTTATTTTGTGTTGTAGTTTGGGCACTCGGGCTCAAAAAGGTTCACCATCACTGCACTATACTGTAGTCCTGGTCACTTTTTCTTTAGAAATATATATTTCTAGGATTTTTCTTTTAATATTTTTGATAGTTTTCAGACCCTGGATAAGTGAATCAGTGGATACCGATTCCGCGGATAAGAGGGTCCTACTGTATTTCTTCTAAAAATAGGTTAAGTGTATCATCTATTTTGACCCTTTCCTAAGTCTGAATTCTGAGCTGTCCTTCCAATACTCAGCAGAAACCTCTCTTGTGTTTGACCTTTACTCCTGTTTTTCAATTTCTCCGTGTTCTCCTCTCTCTTTCTCTCTCTCTTTCCCTCTTTCCTCTCTCTTGCTGCCAATGCCTCTAGTTTGCTTCCTCAGGGCTTTTTACTATATGGCTCCTTTGGTTTCTGATCTAGTGGCCTTTCTCAGTTCCTGTAACAACAGCTTTAGTCGTACAACCCTCCTGCCTTTAAGGTGAGCTCCCTCCCTCTTCTCTCCTTACCCACCGCATCCTCTCCCATTCCATCCGAGTTCAGTGTCACTCCGACGTCTTCCTCCGGAGAAAGGAATGCAAGCATCACACAGATCCATTCATCCCTTTTAGCGCTCTTATGCTGTGTCTGTGCAAGTCGCCTTCCGCAGTTGTGTTACATTTCTTTTACAAAATTAGTACTTTTCTCGGTTCGCTTGCTTGTATGTTGGACGAGTATCTTTATTGCAGTTGTGTTACATTTCTTTTAAAAAATTAGTACTTTTCTCGGTTTGCTTGCTTGTATGTTGGACGAGTATCTTTATTTTAACACATGACTTCATCTTCCATGCATGCACTTGTAATATTTTAGTGTTTTAGAATGCTGTCATGGAGCGCCATGGATACAGTGTGGCGCTCTTCTCTGCATGTAGAAGAACCCAGTCTCAACCATTGGTCTCTCTAGATGGGGCTAGGGTAGAATCCTGTCTAAGAGAGAGCCGGGGCCTTTCAGTGTCAACTGTACTGGGTAAATTGGTCCTCAAGTGGCTGATGCAGTAGAAATCCGTTTTCTCCTCCTCCGGCTCTTTATACAACCATAAGATAGGATATTAGAACAGTCTCACAGTGCAGTGGTTAAACTGCAGTACTGCAGAGAAGACTCTGCTCAAGGCTGGACTTTAATTCAGAGAAGCTCAGTTGATTAAGCCTTCCATCTTTCCAAACTGAATGCCCAGCTTGCTGGGGATTGGGGAGGGCAATGTGTAGCCTCATAATGAAATGGTAAACCACCCAGAGAGAGCTATGGGACGGTATATAAGCAGCACGCTTTGCTTTTATTGATAGTTTTTAAGAGAAGCACCACAGTTCAATGCTAGAGTTCACAGTTTATATGCAGAACGTTCCATGTTCTGTTTCTGGAATGACTCCTGACTGGGAGAGAGTGGAAGGAAGCTGCTGGTCACGGCAGAGACTACTGAGTTAGTCATGACTAATGGTCTTGCTCGGTAGAACTTCCTCTTTTTTTTAATTAAATCTCTTGGGTTCTGGTTAAGCCAAAGAGTATCTGATTTGCATAGAAATGTCCCCAGATCCTTTTGATGGTTGCGCCAACATCCTAACGTTAAATTCTCAAGGTGAGTTGACTCGTTGATCCTAAAATCCAGAGAACTTTAATTTGTTGGTTAATTATTTTATCACATTGCTAATGATATATTAGCAATACTATGCATTACTGAGAATTGATGATAATGACTATAACAGGTTAATACAGCAAGGAACATTAAAACAGTTTTGTCCTTTTAAGGATTAAGAGAACAATATTTTAACTTGTGGCTGAAAAATATAACAAATGGGACTAAGTAATTTTGAACAAATTATTTCAAATTTTCTGGAGGGTTTCCGTGCTCATTTTGTCCAGCCCCCTGCTAATGCAGGAAATCTGCCACTGCAACGGAGTCTTCCAGTGGCTCCATGTTTGTGGAGGTAATTGAGAGATCTATTTCTTGTAAACAGAGTAACATTGCTTCTATTATTCATTGACTACTGAATGAGCAATTAAGATCCCTATGCTTTATAAAAGACCCGCTCCTAACAGTGAGAACGGGTTTGTTCATATGGATTGAAAAAAAACTGCTGTTAAGTTTATTTTGTTTTGTTTCTTTTTCACTGGGGAACATGACCCCATAGAAACTCTGGTGTAGGAGGTTTCACTATTGTCAGACAATGTTGAGAAGTTTTTTTCCTACAGTGGAGCTGTATCTTATTTTCTCTTCAGCTGAGTACGAACAAAATCCTCTTGGTATAAAGTTAAGACGTATAAACCAGATCCAACGCCAGAAATATTTAATTTAAACGAATTGAAAGCTGCCGGTCCCTCCCTTTCATTTTGTGTGCCCCCCCCCGGGCTCTGTTTTCCCCTGGCATTTGGGAGCCTCAAGATGGGGAAGGGGGGAGGGAGTCTTTAATAGTGCAGAATCACCCCCCAGATTGCCGCCAGCAGTCCTCATCCTGGCCGTGGTGACCCGACAGTGATTTTTCGACATTAAAGACTCCCCCCCCCATCCTGAGGCTCTCAAAGGCTTCTCCAGGGAGCCTCCGAAGCTGAAGAGTATTTTGGAGCTATTTTTGAGGAGTCATATAGCCTTCAAAGGAGAGTTTGTTTCTTGGGGAGTTTATTCTGCCCCAGTCGGCTGTTTTTGGGGTGCCGCAGAAAGGCAGCCGAACCGCGAACCTGCTAACTTGATGTTTGTGATTCGCAGAGCCAGGGACGGGAAGAGCCCCTGGGGGTCCTTTCTGCCTCACAGTTGCCCAAATAACCGGGTGGCTAGTGCGTGGCTAGAGGCAGACCTTGGCTTGTGAGGGCAGGCAGGGGCGGGCACCCTCGGCTGGTCTGACTGTTGAGGCAAAATGCCTTCCTCCGACCCAGTTGGTTATGTGCTTGGCCTTTGTTCTGGATGCTTAGGGTTTTCGGTGTGTTTGTGTGTGCACGCATGGGGCAGGAGAAGCGTCTAGCGGTTGGCTCACAAACACATGCGAGTATCCGTGAGTGTAGGATTGACGTTCTCTTGGTTGGGGACAATGGGTGTTGGAGTCTAATACATGGCCACCCTATTCCTGGCATTGCCTATAGAATCCCACATGTGTGTTCCTCCAGTGGCAACCCCAGTTTCAGAGGGCCGTTGGGCAGGATGCATTCAGTACAGTGGTGCCTCGCTAGACAATGATAATCCCTTCCACTGAAATCGCTGTTTAGCGAAATCATCGTCTAGCGAAAAGCATTTCCCCATTGGAATGCATTGAAACCTGTTTAATGCGTTCCAGTGGGGAAGAATCGTCGTTGTCTAGCGAAGATCGGCCATAGGAAAGCCGCTTTGCGAACCGCCGATCAGCTGTTTAAATAGCTGTCTTGCTGTTTAGATCATAGATCTCGAAAACACCCGTTTTGCGAGTGCGGAGGGAGCTGTCAAAATCGTCGTCTAGCAAAAATCGGTTTGCGAAGCAGGGACCAAACATTGTCCAGTGAAATTCCCCTGTAGGAATCACTGTTTTGCAAATCGCTATAGTGATCGCAAAAAGTCAATGTCTAGCAAAAAAAAAAATGTCATGCGGGGTAACTGTCTAGCGAGGCACCACTGTATATGTGTTTGGGGGGGTGGGGATGTCTTCCTTGGTTAATCCCACTACCTGGAGGGGGGGAGAAGAGATCTCCCATTTTGCCTTCCTTTTCCCCCCTCTGCCTGATCACTGCAAGGTCACAGGCAGCAGGAAGAAAAAGAAAAGAGGTTTGAGGTGATGGTAAGGCCGGGGGGGCCGCAGACCTGATGCGCTGATGTCTGTCAATGCTCGTCTCCCCCATGTTGGAAGGCCTCCATCTGCCCGTCGTGTATGGGGGCGGCCATTCATATCTTAGTTATGCAAGTGGCTAACGATTTGCACCTTTTGCTTTATTTGTTAACCTGATGGAAAAGGGTCGAGCAGATGGGTGACATTCAGCAAGGACCAAATATCCCACCAAGTTCCACTGGATCTTTTAGATAAAGATTTGGAGGAATAGAATACAATCCCCTGCCTTTTTTCTCCTTTCCTTTTTTCTCCCTTTCTTTCCTTCTCGGTATCCTGGCCAATGTGTAAGGGCACGAGCATCTTTTTAAAATGCACACCAATGCAGATGCTATTGCCACATGCAGATGAATGAGGTGTTACGTCTCTTCTGGGTCACATGTCCCGATGTGTGCAAGGATCCAGCAACGCCTCTGCATGATCTTCACATTCCCCCTAAAGACGGGATGTGGCTGCATTCTGGCAGGCGATTTTGAATATCGAGGACGGGAAAAGATGCGTCTCCGGCCAGCCCTTTTCCAGAAGCAGTTCTTTCTCTCCCTTGGTCCTGTATAAAGGCACCCACACAGAGCCGAGCTGACCTTCGGCTTCATTTCTGGTGAGATGCACCAGTTATTCAGTATTCTGGGGCCGAACCTGCCCTCCTCCTTCCTTGGAACGTTCTTGAAAACTCAGTCGCGGTGCAGCCAAGGGGGACTCGTCGTGCAAGTGACGTCAGGCGGGGAACAGGCTTGGAATGTAAGATGAGGTGCCAGGGTTTGACTTACTGGATGTGTCCGTTTGCAGATGGTGGTGGTTTTATAGTAGGACTGGAGAGAGAGAGAGAGAGAGCGGTATGCCCATTTGCATTTGATGGTTGTTCTTAGCAACCAAGCCCATATTGTGATAATCCATGCGTGGGTTTAAAATTCTTTTTTTCTCCTTGGCTTTACTAATCTCTGGTTGATATTGTGTGTGTGTGTTTTGCATTCTAGAATATTCACATTTTGCTTCCTTATTTGTTTATTTCAAATTAAACCCTGACTTTCTGGGTTTTCACATACCCACGTAGTGTGTGATCAGATAATATAAAATCACGTCACCCACTGATGATGATGATGGTATTAAATAGTTAAAACAGGAACAGCAGATTAAAATGGCCATGTCTCATCTTCCCAAAATGTGGACCAAATTAAGTTGACATGTGCCCTCCCTTTATGATTTCCGAAAGTGGTTTGTGCTCAGGCTGCTGGAATACAAATTAGAATTCTCTCCACACAACCCCCCCGAGATCACAACATTTGAAGGGGTGAAACTGGAGAATAATTGCATACTGGTTCAGGTATTAATTCAGGAAATATTGCTTAGGTTGAGCCATGTTAAAATGGAAACCAAACACATTTCTCCTACTTTCGTGTTAATTTCCTATGCAAGCAAAGTGATGCTCAAGATTTTACAACGAAGACTCATAAGGAGTGAGAAACGCGCAAAGTTTAAGGTGAATTCAGAAATGAAAGAGAATATACTGCCCTGTTTCCCCCCCAAATAAAACAGGATCTTATGTTAATTTTTGCTGAAATATAAGGAATGAGAAACGCACAAAGTTTAAGATGAATTCAGAAATGAAAGAGACACTCATGAATATACTGCCCTGTTTCCCTCCAAATAAGACAGGATCTTATGTTAATTTTTGTTCCAAAAACGCATTAGGGCTTATTTTCAGGGAATGTTTTATTTTTGTCATGTACAGTACAACAATTGACATTTATTCAAAGACAATCCTGTCCCCTTCTTCTGGTTGCTGCACAAGGGTGCAGGGTGGGGTTTCACGTAACTGGGGCTTATTTTTGGAATAGGACATATTACGAGCATCCTGAAAAATCATCCTAGGGCTTATTTTCAGGTTAGGTCTTATTTTAGGGGAAACAGGGTATATATTAGTGACAGGAATGTACTGAAGAATTTTAGAAGGAAATTTACATTGCGCTTTAAATATGACAGCAAAGCCTTTGACGGTATGGATCATGGAAAGCTATAGATTGTTGTAGGGGAAATCAGCGTGGCACAATATTTGATCATCATGATGAATAGCTTATTCTCTGAATAAAAGGTTAAGACAATATGAAGAATCAGAATAGTTTTCAGTAAACAAAGATGTTAGGAAAGGGTGTATTTATTTCCACGCCTGTTCAATCTGTATGCTGGACAAGGAAGACACCAAAATAGTTAAAAATTTTCTGCATCTTGGTTCAGTCATCCATGCAAAGGGAAATTGCAGCCAAGGAATCAGAAGCAGGCTGACACTAGGAAGGACAGCGATGAAGGAATTGGAGGAGATCCTTAAGCGTAAGGACATGTGTCACTTTGGGGATTCGTAGTACTGAGTTAGGACAATTTTAGAGGCAAATGGGGCTTTACTTGCCTTTAATGATCTATGTGTTGGCCAAGGTCATCAGGGCCGAGGTATTCCCGACTGTACACCTAGATGTGAAAGCAGAATAATAAGAAAGCTGACTGGGGGGAAAAAATCTAACTCATGCAAAATGTAAGTCTTGAAGTAAAGCTTTATGGATAACCTGGACCGCTAGAAAGAGAAAGAAGTGAGTTCTAGATTGAGCCTGAACTCACACTAGAAGCTAAAATTTGTAAGCGGAAGCTATTGTGCTTTAGTTTAGGCACATCACGAGACAACAAAACCCACTTGAAAGGGCTCTCGCTAAAGTTTGTAAGCGGAAGTTATTGTGCACATCATGAGACAACAAAACCCACTTGAAAGGGCTCTCATGGAGAAGAGGAAGACCTAGCATAAAGAGGATTGAGAAGGGACACCACGTGGTGGCTGTCCATGCAAAAGGTCTGGGGTTTCCACTCTCGGCGTCTCCAGGTTGGGCTAGAAAGAAACCCCGGAATGCCTCAGTTAATCTGAGTTGGCAGAACTGGGTAAAATGGGCTAAGAGTCTGGTCCAGGATAAGGCAGCTTCCAGTGTTCAGAGAAGTTTCAAGATTCTTCATCAAATTAATCTCAGTTTAGAATTTAATATAACTGTGAATCTTAAAGGCCAGTGTGGTATGCTGGATTGGGACTCCAGAGACCTGGGTTCAAATCCCCACTTGGCCATGGAAACTCACTGAGGGGTAGGACGGGTCTGGTAAAAATCGCTCCTTAAATGTCTCACCTAGGGGCGGCTCTTGTAAAAATCGCTCCTTAAATGTCTCACCTACCTTGAAAACCCTAGTAGGGTTGCTCCATGGTAGATGAACTTGGGGGCACAGAGGAAAAACAGATCTTTAAACCTGAAATCATGCTTCTCCGGTGCCACTGTCAATGATAGGAAGAGTGTGTATTAGATGCTGTGTATGTTCTCTCTCTGTTCTAAAATAATTTCTCCAGTTTGTGTCTCTGCGTATAGAACAGCTCATGCACTTTCATGGATCTTGGTGTCCTTGTTTGTCTTCTTGTTTTGGTGAGATGGGTAGAGTGAGTGGCGGTGGGTTCCTCACCCCTTCTGTGCACGAGAGCCTTCCTTCATTTTTTTCTGAACGACTGGCCTTCGAAGAGACACTTCTCTGCCCATAGAGCAGCTGCCTTTAATCAGCTGACGTAATTAATAACTTTACAAGGATGGAAGGCGGAGATAAAGGCTTGAAACATTCTAGGCTCCCTTGATAGAAAAGCTGTTTTATACCTTCTCCCCCCCACCCCCAGTTGCATACATACCTTGTTTTTGAACTCTAGACGTGTGTGTGTGAGAGAGAGAGAGAGAGAGAGAGAGAGGGGACCTTTCTGACAGTGTGTGTCTTTCTGCGGTATCAAGTACAATAATGGGCTCAAACTGTAGGAAACCAGATCCAGGTTGAATATTAGGGAAAACCTCTTAACTGTTAGAGCGGTAGGGCAATGGGACCAATGATTTCAGCAGATGATGGATGCGCCAACACTTGAAGGCATTCAAGAGGAAATTGGGCAACCCTCTGTCAGATCTGCTTTGACTTGTGTTCCTGCAAAGGGTTGGCCTTGAATGCTTTATAGGCCCCTTCTAATTCCGTTGTTCTGTGATTCCCTGATTTCAGACATAACTTAAGATTTGATTCAAATGCAAAAGTGCCTTCTCTCTGCCGTCTTTTAGAGAAGAGATCTTCTAGATGAGCTGTTTAGAGGTCTATCCTATGCTTTTTAATTTTAAATCCTGGGATAAGCCCTGAAGTGGAAGGGGGAGGGTGTAGAACTCTGGATTTCTAATTTCCCAACTCTGGATCAGCCCGCTTTGCTTGGGTCTCTTTTCCCTCGGCCCGCTCTCTCTGAAGATCCCTTTCATTGCATGAGGACTAGAGAGAGAGTCAAACTGGTCTTCTCTTGGCAGGGCAAGGATTAATCTGTCCTGCCTGACCTCTGCCCTCTCTGCTAATGGCTTCCCCTTCTTCCATCTGCAGGATGACATGCAGAGGGTCATTGACCAGCAGTTGATGGACAAACATCCAAAGGAATGGAGCCAGCCCACTTACTCCTTCTCCACTGGCCACGGGGTGAAGAGGCGCGCCAGACCCTCCTCTGCGCTGAGGCCGGAGCCGCAGGGGGCCGAGCCCATCGGGGCAGAAGGCAACCGCCTCTTCTCTTTTTTCAAGAAAAATTAATTGGAACGAAGCAACCCCTCTCCAGTTACTCTGTTGTTGTTTCTTTAATTTAAAACAAAATATTCTTCTTCTTACTACAATGGTTATTTTTGAAGGGAAGGAAGCTGGAGAAGGTCAGCAAGCCCGGCTGGTGGTGGATGGGTCCCGGATTCGGATCATGAAAGAAACCACTAAGACGGGCCAAGGAGTTAACCCTTAAGAACTCTGCACTATTTTGCAACCCCTGTGGTCCGAACTCGAGCGTTTACACATGTTGTAGTTGACATGGCCAACCTCCGTCCTGCACGATGGTGATGGAAAGGACCATTCTTTCTACCTTAAGCGACGTGGAAAAAACAAACACGAAATCTTCAGGGTGTCTTGTGAGACCCCACTCTGTTTCTGCTGTGTGTGATCCAGGTGTCTTAAAGTTCTTTTCTTCTGCCACCGAGAAAGGATGAAAGGAACAGGTTAGGAAGTGGCCAGGAGAAGCCCGGCTGGTTTGGGAGTGGAGCGGAGAGGAAGGAGAGACGCCCGAGCAGATGCTGACGGAAGGATGGGCCATCTCTTGCATAACCTTGGGAATCTGTTGCCTTTCAGATGCTTGCTGGACTCCAACTCCCATTAACCCCCCACTGTTGGTCCAGGCTGATGGGAGTTACAGTTCAGCAACCTCCAGAGCACCATGCCTTCCCCATGTCTGTTTCAGTGCTTGGAAACATTACTTTTGGGAGGTGTCAACTCCCAGAATCGTCCAGCTGGTCATGCTGCTTGGAGAATCTGGGAGTTGGAATCCAAAAAAAAGCTGTTTTTTTCCCATGCTTCCTAGAGGGATTCTTGGAATTTGAAGTAAAAAGAAAAAAGAAAAAAGAAAAGAAAAGAAAAAAGGTAACTTGAAAAACAGGCCTGTTTTGTTGGTGTTCCTCTTGACAGCTGATCCCTGCCCCATCGACTAAGGGCAAACATTTAGATGAAAGCCATGGAAATTCTAATGGCCAAGGGAAGCAGCTTACTATATTCACCATTAGGTTCAAGATACATTCTCTCAAGCAGAACTAGCTTGTGTCTTGGCAATCGTGTGTCTATTTTAATTTCAGGGAGTAACTTGGGGGAAATTCGGCGCTTCCAGGGATGCTGCCCAATGGCTTCGAACTCCTCTTTGCTCTGATTTCCTTTTGCAGAGAGGAGCGTGGCATTTCTAACCAAGAAGCTGGTCACTCCAGTTTCATGAGTGGGGTGGGGTGGGGGGCTGAGTTCACACTGGGCTTTGTTCTGAACTTTTAACTATGGCCCCCAAGGCGTTGAACCCAGTTGAGGGATAGGGTCCAGTACCTTGGGTAGCTCCTCTAAAGTTCGGACCAAACCCCAGAATGGACTCATGGCTCCTTCCAAAATTAGAGGGTTATCCCTCCCCACCCCAGACTACAAGCCGGGAAGTAATCTGTAGCACCGTTCAAATAAGTAGCTGCTCTGATTCTAGGGAAATACTTTACCTCGTCAACACAATTACTCTGCCCAAATTTTCAAGGGGAAAAATGACAGGTTCAACACAGCGGGATGAAAGAGGGAAAGAACTTTTCAGTGATGGAGTGTGTTGTTTGATGGGCTGACATATTTGGGGCTGACTGTCTTTCGTGAGTCATAAATACAGTGGCAGCTCTCTCGTTTGCATTTTGTACATGTAACTCTCTTGTCCCAGACAATCAAAAAAGATTCTTCTTCCTTCCAGCACTGGACTTGACGTATCTCCTCCCCAGCCCACTTTTTTTTTCCTGCTCAATTTTCAAGGGCCAGAAGTCTTGGAGGTGTCGTTAATCAGAGATGGGAGGAATGAACTACTGGTCCCAGAATCCCACAGCTAGCGTTGGCCATTTCTTGGCCACAAAAGGTAGCTCTTTTTGACCATGCGTGTTCCTCGCTGGTGTCTAATGCTTCTGTCCCCCGTAATGACAGTTCTTGTCCTGTGAAAGCAACAGGAAAAGTTGGGTTTCGGATCATGGAAGGACAGATGTGGCAGGCACACGGCCCGTTGCAAAGCAAGAAGGGCTCGTTACGTCCAGATGCATGGAGGGAGGGCATCTCCCTAGAGAAAAATCATGGCATGATTCTAGGGTTCTGCTACATTAGACGGAGGCATCCTACATCTTTCATGCAAAAAAAAACCCACAACAAAGCACGCTCCCTCTGCGTAGAACATGGGCTGATACAGAGATGGGAGAATTTAATTCGTTGGGCTTCCAATTCCAGAAACCTCAGTTCTCTTCCCATGGCCGGTATCTATGGTTGTTAAGAAATTCTAGGAGGGCTGCATGTTTCCAAGTTGTGGTTAGAAATTACCTCTTTGACACCTCTTTTGGGTGTAAGAAGGTGTTAGGGAGTAACCTTTTGCAACAAGAGTTAATCCGTCAGGTGTCCTTGCTTGCCATCTGGTATAGCCCTACCCGTGACATGACTTTCTTCATAATGACCTCATAAGCTTGAGGTGAGAACTGCGGAACGCATGTTGTTGGGCTTCAGTTTCCACCCACAGAGCCCGTGAGGGAAGATGATGGGAATTGCAATCTGACCCTGAAGCAGGACACGCATTTCCCATCTTGGCTGTCTGTGGTTTCTGGATTGCCCAGCTTTGACGCCACTGGAGACCAGTCTAATTTCCCCTCTGGGCCCTCCAGCCAGGAAGCTGAAGCCTGGGCTGCTGTTCTGTAGAAGCCCCTACCGGCATCTCGTGGCCGTCCAGCAGGAACTCAAAAAAGGCAAATCTGACCTCCAAAGATATGAGCCCATCAGAGTAAAGTGGAAGGATAAAAAGGCCACTTAATGGCATTGGTTTTTTGCTCGAGGATGCCCCTATTGAGCAGCCTTTCTTTACCGGATGATGTCTGCTGGGTGGGGATGATGTATGTTGTAGTCTCACACACCTGGAGGGCACCAGATTCAAGGAGGACTTCTAGAGTTTCCCTGAATGGAGAAAACTTAGTGAAGTTACAGTGAGGGTGGAATTGAGGTCTCAGTTCTTCCTTATGCTAGGCTTAGAAGCTGTCTCGTGTATTCCTCCTAAGCTAGGAGAAGGGAATGCATGACCTTGGATTACATTTCCCATGGTCCCTCACAACTGACTGTGGTAGCCGGGGCCATTGTGCATTGGAGTGTGAGAACATGTGGAGGGCTAGACATTCATCTCCCCCCACCCAGTCCTGTCCTCGATATCCCCACCAGTTTCAGCCATCATACCCTTCCCTTCTTAAGCAGGCATGGAAAATATTTGTTGATTTATGGTGCGTCGGAGATGGAAATCATTGCAGTAGCTTCATGTACCCCCTAAATCCAGTGCAGTGGACCAAAGGCCAAAATCTGGTTGGGCCAGTGTGGGATGTCTAAGCTTTGAACAAGGAAACGGTCCTGCACGAGGTTGAAGTGAACCCTTGAAATCCGTCAGTAGCCAGGGGCCAACGCTAGTCTTTCGGTGAGGATCGTTGTAGCTAGTCACAGGTCAACGACGACAAGGCCAAAACGGATTAGAAAACACTGGCCAGAAGGATGGGACTTGTATTCCAACACAGGTGGAGGGCGCCATAGTGGAGAAGGCTGTTTCTCTTCCCTTCCCCCCTGGCCTAAATTGTATTGTGAGTCTCAACTAGAGCAGACCTCTTGAATCAGCAGAACTCCCTGTGTTTGTAGCTTAAAAAGAAACCTGCTGTTGATTCAGTGTGTCTGTTCTAACTGGGATGAACTTTTGGATTTAGGTCAAAGAATGCCTGAAACTGCCATATGAGCTCTTGCATGTCAAAGGTTCAGGAGAGTTGGGGGGGGGGGGAAAGGCAACAAGTAACGTCACTGTTTCGAAATCCCTTTTATCCCACAATAAGGGGGTCATAGGAATCTCTAGATGGATCTGTATTAGTCCTTTTACTTGCTTTTGATCTCTGGTGGCTCCTCAGTGGCACAGCATGATCTTATCAAGGAGAGGAAGGCCTGATCCTACCACATAAGCCAAGTAAAAATCCTCCGGCGATCACTCCATGGGAGCATGGTCCACCCAGTTCGGGGGCGCGGATAATGTTCCCTTGGTTTTGTAGCCCTTTGCCAAGCCTCCTGTGCATTGAATTGCTGCTCCCACTCCTAGACCGATCGGAGCATGGCTAAGAAGGCAAATGAAGACTACTGAGTAACAGAAGATGCAATCTGTGCGCACACTGCCTTCCTTGCACATGGAGTAATGCAGAGAGAGAGACAGAAGGGTCATTTCTATCAGGTGGGGGTCTTAGTAGCGAGTGGACATGTAGACGGCTGTCTGTCCTGAGGCTCTTGCTGCCTTTTGTACAGTCAGACTTTGCACCTCGCAATCAGTCGGAGTAGACTTGGCCTTCCAGGTCCTCTGTGGGTTTTCTCCCTGTCTTCTGCAAAGGCCAGCTATCACCGTCTCCTTTCGTGATGGCGAAACGTAAGCAATAACGAGGAGGGCGAGGAGGAACGGTCTAGGCTGGAGAAGCTTCAGTCTGCATTCCCACTTGGCAATGCTTGCCAGAAGTGGGAAGGTCTACTATTGACCATATTATCCGCACAGCCCTGGGTGTGGGGTTGAAATAACTCCCCACCCAAACACCACACTGTGATATTACTGGAGAGAAGTCAAGGCTGTGGCTTCTTTGGGGGGGGGGAAGCTGGAGGAGGAGGGGACATCTGCTGCTCCGTGGTGTGGGCCAGATTTTCTCCACCCCAGTGTTATGGAACACGGTCTAAAGCTTGGATGGTTAATGTTACCCATTTTTATTGGGGCCTGGATACGCTTTCCCCCCCCAAAAAAGCCAGCAATATATCCAAGCTCTGAGTGCAAAGACTGTATAAACTGTCCTCCTTCCATGGCAGATCACTGCGTAGTGACGTACTTGACCGGGCAAGGAAAGGACAGGAAAAAGAGGAGGCTGCTGGTTGACCGTTCCATGATAGGAGGCAGAAAAGCTTTTCTGTCAAAGGTTCCTTTGACCGTGGGAGGGCCAAAATCCTCCACTTTGGAGGTGGGCAAGAGGTTGGCTTTCCAGTGGTGTTGGACCTTCACCCCCGGCCACCTTCGGAAGCCTGAACCTCGGGTGAGACATTGCAGCCCACCCACATCTGGAGGGCCACCCTTGGCTGTCCTGTGGGGAGGAAGGTGAGCCATAGCGTGGTTGCTTGTTTCCTTGGGAAAAATAATTAGCTGATCACGGTCTGTCCTCTACTGTTTGTGGGGTGGGAGACAAAACAACAACAACAAAAAAAAAAAAACCCAGAAGAAAGCAGAGATAGCAAACACATCACATTTGCCACTGTTTTGGGACTGCATCTCCGGTCAGCGATGCTGGCTACAGGTGATGGCAGGCACCCTTGTATGTCTGAATGGGCAGCTATGTATGTACGCCCACCCCTGTAATAAGGAGAGAAGGGGATATCGAGAGGATGCAGAGGGGTTGTGTTCACACAAAGAGCCGCCCGCCCGGGCAGCAGAACTGGTGTGAGACTGCGTGTCTCCAGACAGCAGCCAGTGGTGGTTTGATAAACGTTGTGCGGGAATTACTTTTCTTCTTGATGCTATCAGAAGATGCCGTCAGCCAGAGCAGTGGCCTTGCAGAAAAGGAGGCTAGACAAAAATATTTCTCCTTTGCTTCACAGTCGTGTGTTTTCAACAATAAGACGTGCAGGAAGCTTTAGATGGCTGAAGAATCAGTAATCTAGGTCCCTCTAGACACAGACTCCACATTTTCCTCCTTCCCTGCTGTCTTGGAATTAAGCCTGACCTTCCGACCAGGCTAGCGGGAAATGGTGATCGAACCCCCTCTGGAAAGCCTGAGGATGGAAAACACTGAGCTGCCCTTTAAGCAAAAAGCCAAAAGAAATCAGAAAAAGGAAAGGGGAAAATGAGGGGGGGGAGAATTGAAGTGTGCATGAATGTTTTACTGCCAGTGTTTGTTTCCCACAAAGAAGAGCAGGCTGGGGTGGGTAGGTGGGGGCCCTTCTACTTCCAAAGACCTTCAGAGGGCCACAGGTCTTGCTTCAGTCGCTCAGACCCACTCCCCCCCCCCAGAGTCAAAACAGATGAGCCTGAGAGATTTATGGAAAGGTCACTGGATTTGAAAGGCTGCATGCCGGAGGGGGTGAGTGGGAGTGTGAATTTTTTTTCTTAAAAAAAAAAGCACACAGCAGGGAAGGGCAGATAGAATGTATCTCTATAGATATATGTATATAACCACACAGTGCAGTAATTTTTCTATGTAGCAGTCATGTAAATATGTGTACCGTTTTTATAATAAGATATTCTATAAAGGCATATTTTAGTAGAAAACGCTGCTCTACGGCTTCTTTTGTAAATAGTTCTCATCTGAATAAAATGGGTCCTTTCTACAGGTATCGTCTTTGTGATTTGCTCCGTGGCAAAAAACTGGGGTGGTTGGAAAACCCTTTTTCTTCCCAGCTGGTTCCGGAAGGGGTTCAGTCAAGACATCTTGACTACATTTAAACAGAGGGTGGGCAAAAGGTGTGCCAGATGTTGATGGACTGCAATTTGCAACAGTCCTAACCTGTTCAGCCAGTGGTCAGAAAAGGGGGGGGATGGCACTCAGCAGTAGCTGGAGGACATCCTTTTGGCCATTCAATTTAAAGAATGGCAAAATGAACCAAAAATGAGAAGTGGGCTACAGACCTCTTGTCGCTTGAATGAGTTACAATGGACACATCTGCCTTCCTTCCGATTTTGCTCATCATGTGTCAGAACAAGCACTAATTCACTTATTCCTGGAGCCTCCATCCACATCAAGGGTGGGAAACTCTTGACACACCCTACGTTTTGATATTCACCTCCCTGAAATCCCAGCTGACATGACCAAGGGTAAGGGGTGGGTGGGAGCTGTGGTCACAAATATCTGGAAATTCAAAGGTTCATCCATTTTGCATGTGTCTTGAAAACTGGTCTTGCATATGCCACCGGGGTTCACAAAGACCACGTCAACAGAGGACAAGCTTGGGCAGATGCCACCAAGCTGGGAAAGTGGCTGCACGTCCACCACCAGAGATATAGCTGATCTAAACAGAGAGCAATTTATTGCCCACAGCAACTATGAATGCAACAGCAGCGTGGGAGAGATGCAGCTACCTAGACTGAGGAACTAACCCAATCTAATTCCTTTACCTGGATGGTTCCTAAAACTTCAAGGTGTTCACTTCAGTTAGGCATCCTTCAGTCTCGAAAGACTATGGTAGTGTGCTCTGTATGGAGGGCTTGGCTGAGGAACTACCCCAATCTAATTCCTTTGCCTGGATGGTTCCCTAAAACTTCAAGGTGTTCACTTCAACTGCTGCACTATTCGGATACATGCCAAACACTTCAGAATTACATGTGATTGAGACTTCCTCCTTGTAGGGGCCCAGTGTCATCCTTTTCTGCTTCTCCATCACATTTATGGCCAGCCAAAGTACGTACTATCGGCAATACAGAACGCAATGGGAACTTAGCAGCTATGTCTCCCACCAAAAAGGTTCTAGAAACCTGCAAGAAGAAATTGTTTGAGACTGAACTGAAATCCATGTGATGTTTGACCTACCTTGCTGCAGGTGGGGGTGGGAGGGTTTCGTATGTGCCACAAATACCTGGTCAGACTATTCCAATGGCAGGAGGAGACTCCTCAAACTGCAGGATTCTCGAGACCTGGCACAGCTATACCTCCTTAGCCAATGGACTACCAGGATTCCAGAATCTCTCTAGTTGCCCACATCTCTTTGGATGCTTATTCCAACCCTTGCGTCTCTTGTCACATACTGTTTCTCCCAACTCCTACTTTTCAATAAATTCACACGCCTTGTTTGAGTGTTAGGAGCTGCTTCTTGGCTGGATCATTTTGTGGCACCGAGAGACGGCTGATTGCCATTCCTTCTCTTACTGCTGCTATTCAACACAGAAACTTCTTTCAGAACCTTAGCCAGTGTTGAAACACCAAATGCAACGCAAGTTTAGCCATTTACCTGGTTCAGCCAATCACCACCACACGCAGTTCAAAATATACAAACACTGTAACCCATGTCAATTTCAAACAAATTGCAGTAACTTCTTCTGAAAAACCTAGTATGATGAGACACTGGAAAACTATATCATAACTAGTATAATTTCTCAGTGGTTATTTTCAAAAGAAGGAAAATGATGGATCAGTGTAAGCTTGGAGTATAGATTGCTCTGAGCCAACCAAGGCACTTTATGAGTTTTCTCCCAGTGTCTTATGACACTGGAAAACTATTTACCCAATTAGGGCCAGGGCAAAACTTTCATGCCAGGGTTCCAGAAGAAGCAAAGAGCAGAGCCTCTGGGGAAGATTTGGCAGCTTGGCATCTTTATTTTTAGTTTTTTAAAATTATTAAAAAGCATAATTAGAAAGTTTCAATATACAGAAAGAATCCTAGCAAACCAGTTAGACATTCCACCGCTTGACATCAGCACTGCTAAAGACGCCGCCCCGCCCCTTCCCGCCCCCCACCCCGCCCCACACCTTTCTCTAATACTCCACAGGCACCATCCACGGACACCACCCACCAAGTAACTACTGCTGCACGGCCTCCTTTAAAACAAATGGAAGGTTAAACAGCAGCACCGAGCATGGAGAAGAGCTGGAGAGAGGCTACGAGTGGCCGCCTCGGAGAAAACACCCCACACTTCAAACAATCAGAAACTGGATTGCTGGACTGGATTGCACGTCCACACCAGTGCCCAGAGCGGCAAGAGATCGTAGGAGCACGGCAGGGGCTTCAGCCCTTCCGTACTGAACCATCAGTATCCTCCATCACTCCTACGGACCTCTTAGGCCAGCTGTTTCTTCCAGAGAGGACCGCTCCATCCCCATGCTTCAGTTCCGAAGAAGCAGCCACGCACAAGAGGTGCAGAGAGAGAGAGATGTTGGTGGTGAAAGAGGAGTTGAGCTGGAAAGGGATCGTTTTGAGAACACCTTCACGGCTTCCGAGAGGGCAAAGGGCCAGACTGGCTGCCCGCCCGTGATGGGATTGTAGGATCGGGGCTGGTACAACTGAAGGGTTTGTTGTTCTTTGTTCTTAAAGGCAAACAGAACAATAAATAAGGAATTTCAACTTAGCCCTTCTTACATGATTCAAAGTCCAAATGTTCTGATGCTGTAGGATATCTCATTAAACGTGAGTATTGTCATCCTAAGATTCCAGGCTGTAAGGAGTCATTTTGGTTAGGGCTCGGTGGGTCAGTTTTTAACTGCTGAGGAGCAGAGCCCTGATTCTTCTCCGACGGGAGCCCCCCATGTGGCATATAAATTCCCTCTCCATTTCAGCCTTACCTAGGCTGAAGCGGTCCAGTCAAGGGGATCACACCACAACAAGTAGCTTCTCTTGATTTCTTCATACTTGAGAGAGCTTCTGTTCGAAGCTGAAGGACACTGGAAGGAGTCCACATTTGAAAAAGGCCAAAATTTCCCCTTCCCAGACATTCCAGCTCTTAAAAATGCAGCGGCAACAGCTGCGCAAGGACTCTGCCCATTAGAATTGCGGTTTTAAGTCCACACTTTATACCTGGGTACACAATAATGACAACAGCGGTTGAGTTGAGAAGATATGACTGATTCACACTCCTGTAACTGTTTGGCAGGACAGTAATGGTCACCTTAGAGAAAACAACCCACACTTCAAACAATCGGAAACTGGACTGCTGGGTTGATAAACAGCTCACCCATGCCAACACCTGGATCCGCAGATGATTACAGGCGCATGGGAGTACTTTCTCTCCTGCACAAAATGGGAACACGAGTTTTAACATTTCTCGGCTCCCAAAGGTTCATTTTAATAATACTAGGTGTTAAATGCTCAATCCCCTCCCAGTGGGCGGAAAAGAGCCCGGCTTTTCTGCAAAACTGGCCCCCGCCCTCCAAAAATATTGGCTATTCCAGAATTTTGGAGAAAGGATCTCAGTGCAGCCTGAAAGCACTCAAGACACCACTCCTAGCTTGAAAATCAAAAGGTGAAGGGAAGTGCATGCCCGGAATGGTAACTTCATTTAAGGGCATCACTGTACTGTATTTCTGGAGGGAGGGATAGGAGTGGGTGAGGGAAAAGGTAAATTCCAAACAAGTCATGATTGGTGACATCAAGAAGGCAGAAGGCAAAGCAACATCAGGGAGGCGCAGCTGGTTAAAGCCAATATACATTATGTACATACTTTTAGGATCAAAAGTCCACTTGGTAGGCAAACCCACGTTCTGTCTGTACGATGCTCTTGAAAAAGAGTAGGACGGAGCGGGGGCAGAATCGCCTCCGTCCAATACCTTCTTGGCACTATTCTGGCAGGGTGTGCCTCCTGACCGAAAACGTGGGAGAAAACTCATTTCAATAACGGCACAGAGTGAGGAAATGCAATGTCCTCCCGAGTCCAAGGCCAGTGGAATCGCCCGTGTCTGGCTGGAAGGGCTGCGCTGAACTGAGCTGCCCAAGCATGCAGTCTCTGCCGCAGGGGAGGAGGACATTAGCAGCACCGCTTCTTCCGTTTACTGTTCTTCGTTAACTTCACCACGTCGTTCTGTTGTTGTTGCTGCTGCTTTGCTAAGTTGTCTTTCTTGGCCCGCAGAACCAACTCCGTGATGCAGTTGAACATCTGCAAGAGAAAGTGCAAGAGGAAGGTCAACCGTAGAACAGCGGCCTTCCCTACATCAGTGTCAGAAGCAAGTTCGCTGCAGAGGGAACATTAGCTGGCAATCACTGGGGTTGACGCCTTGAAATGGGGGTCACATGCAGGCCTCTGATACAGCCTTCCTCTCTCATATGACCCCAAGCCCCCTTCACACCCAGGCTCCGATCAATACGACTTCAGCTTAAGCATATTTAGGGTGCTCTGGAAATAGCCTTAGAACATGGATGGGCCAAGACAAGACATCCAAGTTCATATCTGGACCTGGGGGGGATGGGGGTGGCACACCTATTTACATGCCACACCTCCTTTTTAAAAAAAACTAATTAGAAACAATCCATTCCCGCCCCCCGCCCCCATCAGCGTGCTGTTTCTGTCCAGGAGACAGCTTTTTTCATAACCAGGGCATTTGGAAATAACTTCCCACTATAATAATTAAAAATAAATTAAAAAAACCCAGAGCCTAGAACAACTGGGGGACCCTGGACAAAATCCCACCCCATACCCACTAAAGGGAGGTGGAGTGGAGTTTTTTTGGGGGGAATATTGTCCCCCAAAACTTGGGTGTGTGTGGAGGTTGGAAGGACATTAGCTTGAAGGTGTGGCAGGACACAACTGGACTTCTAAGGGATGCCTGCAACCCACTGGCTGCATTTAAGACACCCCTGTTTTAGAACTGCAAAAGAAAATGTGCATGTTTCCAAATAAGAAGAGTTTCCTCTGCCCCATAACTATAGCTCCTCCCTTTGTCCCTGCTAGACACACCATCCTCTAACCCGATTTCCTGGGGGCAGGTGTTAGCACATATGCTCTGTACCTGGTGAGCAGACTGGTTTCGTATTGCATTGGAAACCAAAGAAATTACAATGGAGTTAGAAGAAAGCACAGGGGACTCTTAGAAACAGCAGGGGTTGTTTTCCACACTGCCCCCGCCCCCACCCCCCAAGTAAACTAGATTTTCGGGTTTGCATACAGCTGAGCTTGCTCAGACCCTGAGGTTGTGTTAGCATTGACTGGGGTGGGGGACTGGGGTCAGCACAGTGAGTCACATGCTATGCAGATCTACTTTCAAAAAACTTTCTTTGGGAGCACTCTTCATAAAAGAGGCAAGTTGGACAGACCATAAGAACATCTCGATCACACACACAGACAGAGACTCCTTACTTCATTTCACTAATAATTAACTGCATGGCGTCAAAATGACTCTGACCTATGGAGATCCTTTCCAGGGTTATCTCTGTAGACATGGGCGTGGAGAGCCTGTTTGAGAGTTCATCCTTTGGATAAACAGGTGTTTGGGGGTTTCCTCTGGCAGGTGTCCATCAGAGGGAACATCCAACTTCTCTGCTCTATCTCTTCCGGGTGCTACCTCTCCGTGGGCTCCTGCTAGCGAAGAACTCCTGAACATCTATCTGTTCATCCAGAGGATGAACCAGCAGCTTGTGTCCATCTCTAGGAGAGAATATGCAGAAGTGGTTTCCTGTTCCCTTCTTCTGGGGCTGTCCTGGGGACTACACAGCTTGCCCAAGGCCACCCAAGCTGGCTCTTTTCATACAAGGCATAAGTGGTGGTGGTGGTGGTGGTGGGGAAGAATCCAACCTCTGGCTCTGCAGCTGCATACCCAACTCAATATTCAGCCATAAGCAATTTCACTACTTTCCCCAAAGGATTTCTCTCTTCGTCCCTGAGAAGCAGTTCAATTTCAGTCTGCTTACTGAACACTTGGCAGAGCAAACAGAAAGGGAGATGTCTTTTGGGGAGGTACATACGCTCCCAAACACCTTTCCAGAACATGGTCCAGAATGGCAGAAGGAATGCGGCAGAGGCCAGAACATCCTGAAAGGCAGAGAGTTGCCCTCGGAAGAAGAAAGGTCCTCTTTCCCTCAGTTGCTGATGATTACCTCTTCCACATTAATGTTCTCTTTGGCGCTGGTCTCAAACAGCTGGATCCCCATCTGCCCAGCAAATTTATAGGCGTCTTCAGTTTCTACCACTTTCCGTTCTGGATCATCATTCTTATTGCCAACTACAAGTAGGAATAAAGAAAGGACGTTGGCATCCTTAAGAACATAATCAACATGAACACCTTAAAAGGTACCTTTGTGGAATAATCCACTTACTATCTCATGCAATAAAACATTAATTTTCCATCTTTATTTATCCAATATTTAAAATATATAATTTATCAGACAAAGCTTTGCAAAGCCCTTTATTAAAAAATACAGTCTAAATGAAATGAAATAAAAAAAATACAGCCTAAATGAAATGAAAACTTGGAATTTTAGTCAAAACAGACATTAAGGGAAATGGAATTTCAACAACAATAAATGCCCGTTCCACCAAGCTTAAAAAGCATTCCTGTTATTTACTTTCCAATGACCAATCACAAAACAAAGCATCCCAACTGAAAGTTACGTAGGTGAAAAAAAATACATGCTATGACAAACAGATGTCTTTTCCAATTTGGGAAGCATCTCTTCTGACTAGGTGCCTAACCGAATCTTTAAAGGGTTCATAGCTCAGTGCTAGCCATGATACTCCCTCCCCTTGTAAATGAGGATACTGTGCTATAAAATACCCATCAGTTGGCCAGAAACTAGGCAGCTTACCTAATATTCGGCAAACATCATCACAATTCTGGTTTATTTCATGCAACCACCGTTTGACATTCACGAAGGATTCAGCGCTTGTGACATCATAAACCACAATGACCCCGTGTGTCCCTCTGTAGTACCTGAAGGCCGAATAAGAAATATGAATGCACATTTCCCAGCTTTAATTCCAGGATCACACCATCTTGATATTCGTGTCGTTGCCTATATATTCATATAAAAATGTACAGTCTGGTTTTCTACTATGTGGCCTACAAAACAGTTTGCTGAAAGATAAGGAGCCCCCAGTATGCACACAGGGTATTCATATACAGTATATGTCCGGGGGGGAGGAAGGAATGGCAAGAAGGCAAGAGCTGACGCTTTCAAGATGGAGAAAAAATTAGGCACCGACAAGATGAGTGTTCTTTCTGTGCATTTACACTGTGGGGGAAGCACATGATGCAGGAAATGGAAACATATCTGTGGGATGCAGGATTGGCAGGTTCGAAATACCAGATTACCATGGAGAGGACTTTGTGAGCCATGGACAACTACTGTCGCTGCCAGCTTGAAGCAGATCAGAAATTCAGTAGAAAAAGATAAACACAAGGGGAAAGAATCGTGGAAGAGGCAAAACTGGTTGTACGGGTGACATTGCAGGGCAGAAAGGTGCACTGAAATCAGAAGTTTTCAAGAAGGACATCATAGGAACCTGGTGACACTGAAACTCTGAAGAACATGATGGATTTTGCAGTCATTTCCTTAAGACGACAGCTGAGACACAGCTTCTGTTCTTTTGTGCGGAAAGAAGGTCTAGACTAGAGCATAGCAGTCTAACACTGACATGGCGTGCATCTCTGTTTCAATCTCTAGCACCTCCAGGTAGGGCTGGAAGGAGGACTCTGGCCCAGAACCCTGGAAAGCTCTTGACTGCTAGTGAAGATAGAGCAGCAATGGGAAGCTGTGGCTGGGGTGGAGGCTGCTCTGCCACATCCTCCACCTTTCTGACTTCCAAAGGCCACAACCACCACCCCCTTTAATATAAAACCTTTTCTATTTTGATAGGTAGGTAGGTAGGTAGGTAGGTAGGTAGGTAGGTAGGTAGGTAGGTAGGTAGGTAGGTAGGTAGGTAGGTAGGTAGGTAGGTAGGTAGGTAGGTAGGTAGGTAGGTAGGTAGGTAGGTAGGTAGGTAGGTAGGTAGGTAGGTAGGTAGGTAGGTAGGTAGGTAGGTAGGTAGGTAGGTAGGTAGGTAAAAGAAAGAAAGAAAGAAAGAAAGAAAGAAAGAAAGAAAGAAAGAAAGAAAGAAAGTGACCATCTGGTCATTTCCAGTTTTGTAGGGAAGAAAAATCATCTATCTTGGGCCTCTAGAAGGTGAGTCCTCCCATTTCCCAAAACAGATAAAAAGTGACTTTGCATACTCTTTAGAGGCTTTGGGAGATGTGACTGTCTATTTTCAGACCACAAATCCGGAGGGTCTTGGGGGCCCATGGTGAACCCAAAGGGGAGACAACACCAAGCCAGATGGATCCATGGTCAAACCTGAACTGTCAGGCTAGTAAAGCATTGGGCACATATGTCAGCGCAATGTTAAAAAGAGCAGATATTAAACAGCTTTATCACTACTCAAGTGAACTAATGGAAGAAAACCTATATTTTGCATGTTAATAAGATGCTCAAGCATGAAGCACCATTTCAGACAATCACTTGAACCTCTCTTGTGCACCTTCAATCTATTTCAGGCAAAACGCACTAAAGCATTATCCTAAGAACATCAACAGGGCTACACAGATTTATTTCAAGTATTTTGCATTTGCTAGTAAAATCAACTATGCCATTAAAAGTTCTTCTGTTCACCAGGATATCTGAGAGGCGGGAAGAGGCTTACAAAGAGAGAGGTTTCATAAAAAGTGCAAGTTATGTCAGATTAGACACAGAGAGACTTTATACGACTGATGCTTCTTACTGCAACCAGAGTCCTGCCTATGGGTACAGACTCTATTCTAGGCTTGCCACCAAAGGGTAGGGGGCACAGCACCCCACGGGGCACTTTGGCCCCATCCTCTGAGTAAAGAACGCTGTCCTGTGCCATGCCTCTGGCTTATGACATTTCACGAGGCTTTGCTCAAAGCACAGCTTCACACCCAGATGGGCCCGAAAATTGTTTTGAAAGATGAACTCCCACTCTTTAAATGGAAAACCTCAAAACCCAGCATAATATCATGGTGTGTACTCAGTCCTGGGTGTAGCCCTTTATTTACAATGGGAGTTGGTGGCATAGGGGTTGCATAGCTTTTGCTGTTTACAGCAGAAATCTGTTCTTCTGGGTATCCCTCAGAGAAAGCTGCGTTAACACCAAGAGTGCTTGAAGTCAATCACAACTGATGTATGTGTGCGTGCACACACACACATAGGAAGAACTCTGCTGACACAGCACAAGGAGGCAAATGGCAGCTGACCTACACTTTCCTCCTCCTCCTCATTTCCTGTCATCCTCCTCAGTTTCTTCCCCATCATTGCTTCCTGTCTGAAGCTGGTGCGCGCAGCAGAACCCTCGTAGGATATGCCTCAGGACTGCCAGGAAGTCGGGGGCTGGCTCAAGCTGTGTGCACACGGCTAGACCTTCATGCTGCTTCCGGCAGTGGCAAAAAAAGGCAGGAGGGCCATCCCAAAGGACACAGCCTGCTCTCTCGGGAGACCGGCCAATTTTTCTAACCCATTCATTCCATACATGGTTGTTGTAGGTTTTTTTGGGCTGTTTGGCCCGTGTTCTGAAGAAGGACATCATTCCACAGAGTTTTGAAATCAGTTTTTGGTTCTGGGACTGCAACTCTCCCACCTCGAAGATACACGTCTTTGTCTTCTTCCCTTAATATTGAGATTTGAAACTGCATTTGCCACTAGGAAAATGTTGCGTAATGAATCCTAGCTGCACAGACCATTTGCAAACTGTTTAAGAGGCTCACATTAACTTTTTCTGCCTTTGCTCTGAAAAGCTCACAGGCACAGGATCACCCTAACAAGGCAGAGATGGGCCTTCTTCCTTTGGTGGCTTCCTGTGCCTGAATCTCATGAGCTCTGTACAATTCAAAATATATCACCCGACATTTTAAATACTGGCCAGGCCTATTCCAACCACTTATCTTATATAATAGGCTACAGAAGCACTGCAAACATATAAATCAGTTTGATGCCAGCAACCGTCATGGCCTCTTTTAAAGAATCTTGGGACCTGCAAGTTTTGGATTAGGGCTGACAATTTTCTGTCAGTAACCCTACCGTATCTCCACCCCTTGTATCCATTTCAAATCTGTTCATATACTGTACACACTTAATTTCTTCTCAAGCCAGCATTCCATATGGCAGGGAAATTTTGCATGGAAAGAAGACTCAAGAGTCACATCATCCAAACTGTGCCTTCAAGAGCCTTCCCTCTTTTTAAGCATACCTCTGCTTGGAGCTAACCAAACCTGCCCTTTCCGGAACACATTTCATCGGTACACTTTGACAGTATCCTCAAGAAGAGACCAAAAGTTCACCAGGCTATTCATGTGCCTATCAGTGTTATACCAAGGTCAGGTTCAAGAGAAGGGCACCCTTCATAGGAGTCTTGCAAGCTAGCTTCTAATTCAGAGATGGGAAGAACCTGGCCCGACCCCTCCTGGACTTTGAAGCTGAAAAAAAAAGTGGGGGGTATGGGAAGGTTAATGATCATCCTCAGAAGCCTTGGAGAGCGGCCATTCACCTTTCAGTTCCTGTTTCTTAAAAAATGCCTTTTAAAAAGACAGCCGAAGGGTGTGGAATTGAGTTTTGCATGCAAATCAGGATTCCCAGTGTCCTTTAGGAGTGAGGGCGGACAGGGTTTGGAGGCAGAGTGTGGCCCTTCAAGGTCTGGAGAAGGAATTCCTAGATCCGTGGAGGATGCTCACCCCCGATGTAGAAGAAAAGAACATTTTGCTCCACGTCTGCCAGACTCCGTTCATCGTTTCGCAAAGAAAGCTGTGTTGCTTGTGATATGCTGAAGACTGAGCAACAAACGGGTCTAAACGTGGCTTCCTGCCATCACCGCTATTGCAGGTGGCTGTACAAAGCAAGCCATATAGCACCGTACAACAGTTTTCTTTGCACTCTGCACTGAAAACTAAAACCGCAGCCAAGTATCTCAAATTCTATATACCAACAGCTGGAGGATTATGTGCAAATTAGCCACTTGCACATTAGTTCTCTCATAGCCCACAATTTTCTCCCCGATTTTCCCTCACAGCATCATTCATTTATTGGTACCCACAGTGTAGGAGATTATGACAGCACCTGTATTTGGAAGAGAAAATGAGGAAGTGCTTTATCTTTAGCCCCAATCCAGCAGTCCCTTCTGAAAGAAGAAAGGGAATCGACACCGGAGGAGACCAGAGTCCAGAAGAGAAATCGTAAACACTTCCATGTATCATATTAATATTCTGTACCTTTTTGGAAATCGTAATTGACTTCCAAAAATTTGATAATTTTGACAAAAGAGTGGTGTTACAATCATCATTGTTATCAACAACTTTTTATCATTCAGCTTTAAATTTTTATACTCTCTAAAGCACCCTGGAAAGCTATGTTACTATATGGAGTATTTAACAACTACCTCATAAAAGCACATTATTCACTCAAGTTCTTTTATCGATTGATAGCCTTGTTAAAACAGACTCACGTTGATGTGATAGTCCGGAAGCGTTCTTGCCCAGCGGTATCCCAGATCTGCAGCTTGACTTTTTCCCCGTTAATCTCTACTGTCCGGATTTTGAAGTCTACTCCAATCGTGGTGATGTAACTGCCTGCCAAAGGAAACGACACAAAGTTGTAGGAGCTAAAGTAATAAAAGCTCTTCAATGTAAAATTGTTGATGGGTCCCAAGAATCTCAGCATTTTTCAGTAGCAGCAGCTAGGAAGAATTCTCTGCAGGTGACAATCTCATGGTTCCCACAGTTTGCCTACTGGAGTTTCATCAACCCCTCAAGCTCATTCTTAAACATCTGAAACTTTGAACTGTGTGGGGTGGGAAAACTCTACATTTATTCAAAAACAGGAACTCATCTGCCTTGAAAATAAGTTTCTGGAACTAATGCGATTCTTTCTTATAATGCTGACTGAAAGCGTTCTGTGTGAACTCTCTTGTGAAAGGTTCTGAACCACAACATACAGGAATATTTAGAACAACAGAATGGCTCCCCTTTGCCCATGGCTGGTGACACCACTGGGAACTGAGAGAGCCTTACAAAAATGATGCCTTTGTGTATTGGGGTGCTGCTGTTTGCACCATCTTCTCCAATCTTCCCCTTGATGCCTGGTGGCCCAGGAAAAAAAATCTGGAAAAAAAACTGAGGGGAAACATATTTTTTTCCATTAGTGGAAAATTTGAGAAACATAAAATCCTCCAATTGAACATTTTCTCTTCCAAATGAGCGAACTGCTTTCAAAGCAAGATGTTATTCACTCAGAGCACAACACTGCTGCGTCAAGATTTTTATGTAAGATAATCTACTGAATCAGAGCATGATCACTGCTGTTCATAAATCTCTAAAATGCTCAAATCCAAGAGCCATTGTTGCACCTCATGGGCTTTTGCCATCTCCTCTCACGAGGGAAACACAGAGAGCTTTCGCTGAGCGTGAACTGATGCTTACCATCCCCTGGCAACCTCTAGTCTAGCTTGATACGAGACATTCAGAACAGAAGCAAAACTGATTTTGTCCAAATAATACATTTTATTATGTTCAATATTTTGCTTGCAGATTTTTATGCTTTCAAATCACAAAAGTATACCCGGCAGCACAATTGTGAGTTATGAAGCGTTTAATGTTTCCAATCCAGTAAAGTTTTAGAAGAGGCAGCTGTGTTAGTCTGTGCTAGTCTATCAGGTAAAAAACAAAAATCAAATTAAAATAAATTGAACAAGGCATTTTTCTCCTTTTTAAAACCCAGTAAAGTTTTAGAAGAGGCAGCTACGTTAGTCTGTGCTAGCCTATCAGGTAAAAAACAAAAATCAAATAAAAAAAATTGAACAAGGCATTTTTCTCCTTTTTAATTTTTATTTTGTGTTTGGCCTGATAACCCAGCAAAAGGAGTATGATATGAGAATATTGCACATCTTTCAATTTTCTGGAAGATCTCCATTTTACCCAGACAAAATGGGAAGCCACAGGGCTTCAACATTTTCAGAAACTTTACATCCCTACTGCCTTAACACCAGAGTTTTAAGGAAAAAGAAGGGCCTATAAGCAGGAAGTTCTGTCTTTTCCGTCAAAGATGTCAAAGAAACTTGAGATTTATGATTCAGAGTTGTGGTTTTAAATGTGTTTCATGCAGGGTGTGAGCCACCTTGGGGTCCAGTGTGGTGCGGAAGGATACAAACTAGATATAGAAAACAAACACTGTGTGTGTGTAGGCAAGGAGGTGGGGAAAACCCTCACCCTACACGACCCACAGGGCACCTGCTTTTGGACTCCTCTTGAAGAACTTGCTTAATGGGATTGAAGCATCTTAGAGAGTTCAAGGCGAAAGCACTTGTCCTCAGCCAACTCACCTGAGAAAGTGTTGTCAGCAAAACGTAACAGCAAACTGCTCTTGCCAACGCCTGAAAGAGAAATTGAAAACACACGCTGAGACCCCAGACAGATCTGAAGTAGTAGACTGGAACTGAAAATAAAAGGTCTCAACCACCTTGGGACACACTTTTAATGCTTTCTATTTTTTCCTCTTTCGCAGGTCCTAAGTAGCTCCAAAAATGTACCTTTTTGAGCCCCTGGGCAAAGCAGGAAGGTGCCTACAAACCTGCTCTCCAGAGGCAAGCAGGAGGCCTTGCACTTTGCTGAGATTCCTTCACTGTCGTTGTCACTCTGCTGTGGTTTGGAGCACTCCTGCCCAAGCAATAGGGGCGGTTCCTCCTCTTTCTTACCTTCTACAAGTCACCTGTGCAAATGGGCACAGCTCCTTTTGTCCCTCCTCTTGCTCTCTCTGGGTGCCAAAGAATTCTAGAGAAGGGACAGTTGGGGTGACCTCAAATCAGGGCTGGCTATGAATCTAGCCAACATTTGCTGCTGTTGTTTGGTGCCGTCAAGTCTTATAGTGATCCAAACAGAGCTTTCAAGGTAAGTGAGATGTTTAAGGAATGTTTTATCCTTTCCACGGACCCCAATGTGTTTCCATGACCAACTGATTTGAACCCGGGTTCTCCAGAGTCCTAGTCCATCATTCTGCCACATTACATCACACTGGTTAAGCATTTGCTATCTCCTGAGGGACCCCCTCCCCTACTTTTACCTCCTAAGAAAACAATACTTCTGAGGGAGGGTAAAATTCATTAGGAAGAACATACACTGGCAGGTATTACAGATACCTGCCAGGTCCCTGCCTCTGCTGATGTGATTTTTGCTGCTGTTCAAAAGTGCCTTTTTCATTCTTTTTTTAAAAATCAAGCTGGGAGGTTGGCATTATGAAAAGCAAAGCAACAGTCTTCATTACAGCCCAGAGATGTTCACTGTCATCAGACAAAAGTGTCAACATGGACTGAATCAAGGCTATTTATATATTTCTGGGGCAATGGAAGGATGAAGCAAAAAAAGCCCCAACACTCATGGGAAGGAGTAACATCACCCAGATTCCTTGTATTACAGCTGGTATTTTTAGGGTTAAAACTTTTTTAAAGGGTGCCAGGAGATTAGATGTGTAGAAAGGGAAATAAGAGGCATCTGTCTGTCGAGGTGCCGAGTCGCTGCCCAAGGAGAGCACCCTGGGAGGGAGGGAGTCACCCTCCGCCCATAATTCTCAAGACCTCTCCTGAACACCCCACTTGCTGAGGGTCCCTGGCCTGTCCGAGCCACTTCCCTGCCCCCTTTTCAGCTACCATATAAAGTGAGGGACGGTCACTGATATAGCATATGGCCTGGACTTTGTGTTCTCAAATTTTCTCTGGTTCCCACCGTAGAATCAACTTCTCTTGTAACTAGTTGCATTTCCAGGATAGCGTGTGGATACGTATGTGTGGGCAAACGGCTACATTCCTTTATGGATTTGGAGCAGTTCACTTTATGGAATGAGGGTCGTTCTCTCTGACTCCTACCGTGTTTCCCTGAAAATAAGACAGGGTCTTATATTAATTTTTGCTCCAAAAATGCATTAGGGCTTATTTTCAGGGGATGTTTTGTTTTTTCATGTAAAACAACCAACATTTATTCAAATGCAAGCATGGCATCACCTTCTGGTTGTGGCACAATGGTGGAGAGCAGGGCTTCACTTCACGGGGGCTTATTTTTGGGGTAGGGCTTATATTACGAGCATCCTGAAAAATCCTACTAGGGCTTATTTTCACGTTAGGTCTTATTTTTGGGGAAACGGGGTATACAGTAGTTTCTCTTTTCTTGGTGTGCTCTCACAAACCACTGTCAAAGTTCACAAGAGCTGTCTTGTTTTCTCCGGGATGGGGATGAGGAAATAATTTGGCGAGAAGTAATTTAGATCTAGCCATTTGCTTTCCCCTATTGGCAAGAATGAATCCCCGCCCTACAAGAGATCTGGAAACACAAATAAATAAATGGACCAGGGTCTCCAGAAAGTAGATCTGAAAGTTCACAAGAGCTGTCTTGTTTTCTCCGGGATGGGGATGAGGAAATAATTTGGCGAGAAGGAATTTAGATCTAGCCATTTGCTTTCCCCTATTTGCAAGAATGAATCCCCCGGCCTACAAGAGATCTGGAAACACATAAATACTGGAGAAGGAATGGACCAGGGTCTCCAGAAAGTAGATCTGCGCAGCCTTACTTCAACACAGACCTGGTTGGGGGCACCGTGGACCCCCAATTTCCAAGAATGAGGGCCAGAAGCATTCTTAGAAAATAAGAGCGACGTAGGCAGCTGCAGCCGGGAGCTTTATTTCAAAGTCTGCCCAGATGCACAAGGGAAAAATGGGGGAGAAGGGTGAATTGTTGAGCAGCTGGAAAGGGCGAGTCTTGAGGGGTGAACTTTGCCTATGCTGGATGTGACTGCCATCTGGGTGGCTTCTGTAGGTGTATTATCTGGCTTGCTCTGATGCAGAATACGTTCTGCCTCTCTCACTTTTAAACGGGTGAAGATGATGTGTGTGCGCCTATGTGTTTATCTGTGTGTGTTCTCCTCACCTCCATCATTCTGCAGTTTTTGAAGTGGGTATTTTGTGGCAATTTACAGGGCAAAGTAGACTTGGGTCTGGGGATCCACCCTCTGTTTCTGAGGCTCATGTGTCTACCATCTGTGAAACAGGTGTTTGTTGGAGCAGAAAACTGTTGGCTCAAAAGAGTGGTTCCAAGTTTTGCAGTTCAGACTACTAGGTTATATATATTTTTCAATCATCACTGGTTTGACTTGGGAGAAATGGCTGTTCAGTGACCAATCCGTCTTCATAATAGTTGCCATGTTGTGCAGGGGCAAAGCATTTTGCATAGCAGTCATTTTGGACAGAGCCCATTATGTCCTCTCAAAATACCAAAAGGCTCATCGGCTCAAAAGAGGCTAATACTTTTGCTTGAACAAAGGGAGCATCGACTTCCAAACACAGATTAATGTTAAATTTTCATGAGTTGTGCTTCATACATCGCGACCCAATCAAGACCGACACTTATATGGGTTAAAGCCTTCTTTCACTCACTGAGGAACACATAACTCAAGGTCCCAAGCTCAATACCTGGCATCTCCAGGTAAGGCTTGAGGCAGCAAGTGGTGTCAAAGAACCTGCCTGGAACCCGGGAAAGCTGCTGCTTGGCAGCTGTGGACTTCCAGCCTAGGCCAGAGATTGGACTAGATGACTCTGGGTCCCTTCCAGCTCTGCAGTTCTATGATTCTATGACAGCAGGCAATATTAGGCTCAACAGATCATGTTTTCTTGGAATTCCTAAAATGGAAATAGATATTCACAATCCAAAAAAGCACATAATGCTGGCAGGTAGTACATGAGGTGTACACAAGTTTCTGATCACCAAGACAGCCAGCGTCTACTTCTGGGTTTTTGGCATAACAATACTCTACTCCTATCACGAGAGGAACTGCAATCATAAGGGGAGCTGTACACGTGAAGAGGAACGCATCCTTAGCCAAACCTTACTGGTATCTTATACCAGGATAAGTGCAACAACATAAATTATAGCAGTGACCTGATGCTAGTTAACAAGTTGCTGCTTATAATCCCTTGTTGCACACCAGCTAATGTGACTGGCATATGATAAGGGAGATCAGTTTACTAGTTGCAATTTGCTGCTGCAATTTATGCCACCGCACTTATGATGGTTTGACTAACCAAAGAGAATCTGGCTGGTATATTCAAGCAAGACACATTTGAAATCTGCTCATGCACAATAACTAGGCCAGAATGTTCCCAAAATCCAAGCATGTAACTGCACAGCAGTGCCAAACATGGAAACCAGGTATCGCTGTGCTCGTCTTACAGCACGGATGGGAAACTGCTCGAGCCTTTCTATCCAGCCTGCATGGGGTTTCCTCAGCCCTGGCTACAAGAGGAAGGGGAAAGCTCTTCTGCTAGCTTTCAAGGCAAAGAGGAAGGCCTCTGTTTTGGAGGCAAAGCAGGACACAGCTCAATGCTTTTGCTCCTCCTTCTGTTCTCAGTGGGGCCCCACCAGTACTGTGGCCTGAAAAGGATCAAGGGAACTGTGCTCTCCCTCTCATGGTAAATTGGCATGTAGCAGAATGGGAGAAAAACCACCCCATGAAAGAGTGTGTTTGGAAAACAGAGGGAGAAGGCATGGTGGTCAGAGGAGCTGGGGCCAACAGTTAAAAATATTAGTTAAAAACACTAGCTAATCAAAACAATTTCCATCTTTTCCCTTTGGAACAGGATCTTGTCTCTGACATTGTACAAAAGACTAGTCCTGCTCCTCCTTAGTTCAGAGATGGAAAGAGCAAATGCCTGTTCTACTTCTGTGCCCATCAGAGAGAGAGAAGAGAGAGAAACCCCATACATCTTCCATCTTAGAACTGAAAGAGAAAGACCAGTGTAATGGCATTTCTGCCTCTGTACCCAACTGGAGAGGTAAGATCATAGCATCCAATGAGTGCTGAGTAAGGCCATATGCCTCAACATGTTCTTCTTGGCTCAGCACAGGAAGGAACATGTGAAGGCTCATGGGCCTGCTCTAACTCTAATCTCAAAGCAGTGCAATGAGCTGTGTCCTGCTTTGCTTCCAAAACAGAGACCTTCCTCTTTGCCTTGAAGGCTAGCAGAAGAGCTTTCTCCTTCCTCTTGCAGCCAGGGCTGAGGAAACCCCATGGAGGCTGGATAGAAAGGCTCGAGCAGTTTCCCATCCGTGCTGTATGCTCACAATGTCTGCTGATTGACAGAGTCAAACCTGCCCACCTCTCCCTCACGTCTCCAGATTTAAGCTGGAAGGGAGTGGCAGAGATGTGTCAGCTGAGGCAGCCTCTGTGCATGGCTTGTACTGGGAGCGTCTGCAGGGTGTAAAGGCAAACCAACATACCTCAGCCTTATTTTCTTTGAGGAGAAAGGAGGTAGAGGCCTCTCAGGGCTTTTAACGCAATCCAACCATGAAATAGTTAAAAAAAACATTATTGCCAGCTTGTTAGACTAGTTGC